TGTATTTATTTATTTATTTATGTTACAACTAAAAATTTTAAAAATTTGCGCGAGTTAAGCTCTGGAAGCGCAATAGTAGCCAATAAACTCCTACTAATGTATTAATTCCCTTAATTGTAATTACGTGTGTGGATATGTATTATTACTTTAACAGGATTTTCAGTTTTAATGAAATTTAAAATGTTATTTATCAAAACTTTGCAAAGAAATTCAAAAGTGCTCAAGAGTCTATAAAATTTTCCGCAGTTTGGGAAAGAAACTTCAGGAAAACTGAAACACCCAGTATTATAATAACATCGGATCTATAAATCTTCTTACTCTCCGCGTTCTGTTCCGTTCGTTCGTGATTTATGACTTTTATTACCTTCCAGTTGGAAAACATCGTCGGTGCTTGTCGATCGTTCGACAAGTCCTCTTCGATATCATTCAACGAATTGGTCATATATATCGCCTTGACGAATGACCGGAAATTTCAGTCGATTTGCACCGTTAACTGATCAATCAATTTCCATTTTTTAGAGTGAATATTATTGAACATTGTAGATCCGTTATTCAGATCAATTATCCTTTCTCTCGCTAACTCACTGATAATGTTCTCTTCTCAATAAAACCTCGTTTATTTTTAGATATTTAGCAATTAAGAGGATATCGTTATCTCGTTTTTTAATCCATCGTATGATGTAGCGTTTGCAAAGAAATTATGAATCAGCTGATAAAGACTGCGGAAATAAATCTTGCTGCAAATTTTTTATTTGGAATATGCGTGCTTCAAAATAATTAGAAATTATATCTTTTAATTACAAATACAACAATCATCAATGTATCTAAAAATTACAATTACCATCAATTTTTTTTTCTCGCGACAATAAAGAGTTGTGAGTTCGTATTAATATCGAAAGAAAATTCACATATCTAGGCTACATACACTTTAATTATTAAATCCAGACAAGGATCGATAAATTTATTATACACTCCTATATGATCAGGCTCAAACTGATCGCCTCGCGATCGTATTCGCGATAATTGGTCGATCGTCCGAAGCATTAATTAACGCTGCAGATAATATTATTAGCGTAACGATTTATCGTCGGCCGTTCCCTCATCGAGTCTTTCAAATTGCCAATAAGCTTTTCGTCGAAGATACACTAGAAAATGCCCGTTTCATTTCCCATTGGTGAAATGGTTTCCCGACCCCTTCCGTCGACATTATATAGGACTCGGTCGGGGATGGGAGTCGCTTTACCTCTTTCCAGACTTCGTCTCGATTCGATCTCGGAGCAAATTTCCGCCTAGCTATTCCACCCCGGAGAACGAACAGAAAAACCGCCCGTAAAACGCAAAAATTCGCGTCGGTAGTTTATTCGTGTTCATTTATTCCATTGGCCACTTTATCCGAGGGAAAAAACGACATTGCAGAAAAGGAAATCGATATTTAAACTTGCAGCCCACATTCATATACCATACATTTTAAGGAATTTAATATAATTGAGTTAACCAATATAAAATATAAGAAGTGATTTGTATGATGAATTATAATTTGTAATGCGAATTATAATATATTTCTTTAAAAATATTTTTCCGGTAAGATTAACTTTGTGACGACACGCTGTTCGATTGATTCGTATTCCATAAATTTCTAGCGTCTGATAAAATTTAGACGTTAAACGCTGATGGAATTTTTTTCATCTTACCACTGTCGAGTTAAGCCGGATCAAGGCGGAACTTGCAGATGCTCATATAAGTACGCGCGTACTTATCGTCATCTTTGAGCCGCACGCGCAGTATGATGTGTATATAGTTCTTTGCTCGATATCTCGGCGTGCCCTCGATAAAAATAGGAAACGGTATTTTATGACATCCGCGAAAAGCAGATTTTCTTGGGGGGTATTTCTTTAATAAATTAATATCGATTAATATCGTCTTTATATATATTTTGCTTGAACGACTTAGAAATAAAAATATGATGTATATCTCTGATATGGAATACTTGAAAAAACTTGTATATTAAACGTTCAACGACTATATCATGTTTTATTATCGGAGGTCATCAGTTTCGTCGCATTAAATAATCAGAGACGATTTTTTATACGATATATCGCACCAAAATTTTCCGATACGCTGACGCATCTAACTTAACGACAATTCTGTTCTGTTTGAGTACCATTATGTAATAGACATCTGTATCACATATATATACACACACACATACGTATACATTTACAATTCCCCGAGCTTTACCCAACCATCATCTACTCCCACTAAACCGCGGTAATCCGCGAGATTGCGAATCTCCTTGTATATCTATCTGCTTTATTGCCTGCAACGTTACGAGTGCAAAAAGAGCCAACGTCGTTTAAGAAAGCTTTATTTCCCCATCAGGAAAGTCTATACATATGTCTCTCTTGTTCGCTTATCGATACATGTTATTGTAAGTCGAAGAAAGATTGTAAAGTAAGGATCAATCGATTGGATCTCATGTTTCGTTCTCGGGTTCTGGGTTCTGTGTGATCACGTGTATGTTCAATGATAATCGTCGCGGTGCTCTCGACGTCTTCTTTAAACGAGAAAAAATATACGCATCTTCTCCCTGACAGAAACTATAAATCTCTCGAGTACAACATCGTCGGCCGGTTTGACCGTTGAATCGATGTTGAAGACTTGTCAGCTTGATCGACACGATTATCGAGCGATCGTCGAAGAGGAGAATCCCTAGAAGAGCGGCAACGTGAAGGACGATCATGGACGATCGGGAGAGTCCGTTTGTGCGAGCGCAGGCCAGCAGGAGCCTGATTCGGCCGCAGCCGCGAAAATTTGCATGCCTATCACCGTCGCCCGCGATGCGTCAGATGACGAATCGATCGCCGATCGCGAACCGCGAGCCGACGAGTCCGATGGGTGGTGGAACGCCACCGAAACGGCTCTCGGCGTCGCACACGCCCTTGGAGAGTCTGAAGCAGTGGGAGCTGGTGGAGGACGACAGAGGTCTGCAGGTGGTCGAGAAACGCGCCGGCGCCCTCAATCCGATCAGGCCCAAGGAGGCGACAGTCCCCGGGGTCGCGAGCCCGTTTTACGATCACTCGACTCCCGTCTCCGGACGAAGATTCGGCAGGACGAACGTGGACGCGAATTTGGAGGAGAAACTGCGGGTCTTCGATCAGTCGAAGATCGTTCAACCGATCGGGCTGCCGCTCGCTCCGTCATTGGCGGAGAGCAAAGCTCAGCCGCTCAGTCTCGATCTGATTCTGAAGCAGCAGCAGCAACAGCAACGTACGTCAAGCACGACAGCCGAGAGCACCGACATGCTACAACGTTTGGAACAGCAAGTCAAGGCCATCGAGATGAGCACAATCGCCGCGAGGACGCGTCAGCTGGAGAACAGTTCGGATTTCGGGCCGGAAGTGCAGCTTAGGTACCGGGAGCACGAGGATCTACTGCGAAACGTGACCGACGACGAGGTCGAGGGGTAAAAACATACTCTGTTTACATCGATCGTCCCCGCGCACTCGTTAATGCCATTGTTGATATTTCTTTCGCGACGAGCATACACCCACGCGTCTCGAATTTTCTGTTTTTCTCTTCTTTTTGCTTCGATGGTAGCGTTGGTGAATATATTCAAGATTAAGAAACTTCTTTTTAAAAATAAATTACGAAATTAGATATTTCTAGATTATTTATTTAATTTATGATCCGGGATATTGATTTTTTTTACCATCGAGGAATGATAAAAATGTCATTCCCGTGAAAAAAAAAATTTCAAAAATAATTTAACTTTATGTCTATAAAAGTTCAAAAGATTCGAAAGATTAATTGGCTTGGAAATTTAATGTCATTCACCCACGCTGTTTTCAACCTCTGCGCGTTAATCGTCATCAGGAAGTTCGACATTTCAATCGGTCAATATCCGAGAACGAGCACACATACATACACATACAGACAATCGTACGACCCGTTACCACATTTACACACAGCGACGATAGCCTTAGCGATAATTGAGGAAATCGTCGTCCAACCTCCGCCTAATCCACCTCCTCGTCGTATCTGATCATCTACTACACACTTGATTCGCACAATTGACTGTTCGCTTACGCCCACGCGTGTCCCTTTCTTCGATACAATTGGCATTTAATTTACGCAACGTCGCAATCGCGCGCGATTTACTCCGTGATTTCCCGTCACCCGGTTCGTCGCCATTCATTACACGCCCAACCGGGAAAGATCGGGGGAGCAGAGCGGAATGAGACAGATGTTTCGACGGATAAATATACCGGGTGTCACTTGGATGGTTTACAAATATCGCGCGTAAACTTTTTTTCAACAATTTATAATCGATCCTGTATTTCGAGATAATTGACTTTTAAAAGTTACGAATGATTAAAAATATATATCGACACGAGTTTTTTTTTCACGCGAATTGTATACCGGCTTATCTGCATAAACAGATAACAAAATATTGTTCTCCAGTTTATTTTTACTAGATTTTATCTTAACAATATTTTAATTAAAGTTTCGGATACCGCGCGAGATTTAATATCGAAGATAACGGAGATTGAATCGTGTTTCCGTTTTATGAAAATTAAAGGGGAAAGATGCATTATTCTGCTTGCCCGATTTCTATCCGTGCACATTATCATCTACGATTATATGCGAATTAAAACAGACACACGTTCATTTATTAATAATTATCACACATACACGACGTGATAATCCGAAAATACCGAGCGATGAAAGGAAGAAATGTCATGACGATTGAATCATAACGAAACGCCAATAAAAAGGGCCTCGCCGTTGCAACGCGGGGATGCGACGCGGAATTCCACCGGAAATGCCGGAATCGCGCCAAAGAAGCCCGCCGTTAAGTTGTCCAGGACTGCCTCGGACACGCGGCGCGGACAGGAAGCGGAGATGAGAGCGCAGTCCAGGATGCCGCAGACTCGCGCGCTCGTTCGGCCGATAGTTGCCAAGAGGGAACATCAGCAGCGTCATCAGCAACAACAACAGCCGAATAACGCGGCGACCAGCATCCCGCTCAGGCCGCTGTCAGACATCATGCAGAAGAGTATTCAAAGCGAGAAGGAGGTAGATATAAATATATATACGTATAATAGGTATCACACATTTACGGCGATAAGCACTCACGTCAAATAATTATCAGAGACTATCGACGTTTTGTCGATAAGACGAGTTTTTTTATCTAATCTTACCTAATTTTTCTAAAGAAGGGGAAAAAAAAATCGTATCACTCTCCGATTAATCATACAATAATTAGAATATATATTATTAAGCGCAGTTATAATTTTATTTAAAAATGATCTCGGATTGATATAGATGCGAGATAGCTACCACAAGATAGAAATATTCGAATGATATTAAAACGGTATATAAAATCTTAAATAAGGAGAAGAGACATTAAAAACCGATGCACGATCGGCATCGCGAATTTTATGTGATCTCTCTCTCTCTCTCTCTCTCTCTCTCTCTCGCCCATATATATTACGTACATATATATCGACGACGTGGCACCCTCGATAACGAATGCCGACTGCAACGGGCGGCAACGTAAATGCATCTCCACGCTTACGTCACACGTATGACTCGAAGTATTTTAATTATTTTATCCAATTACTTGAATTAATGACATTGTCTCATGACATTGTATCTCGATGCTATTCATGAGCAAGTCGAACACATCTTAATTGATATAAAAACTAAAACTAACTTTTCTAACAGAACTTTTATATATACGGCGATGTTAAAAAACGGCAGGAGATATAATCTTTTAATATCGTACGTCATGTCGAATTCGATAAACGAGACGATATATCTGGGACGCGACTTTATTTTACATCCGTATCAGCTTCGCATCGTGTCATAAAACAAATTTCACATGCACCCCACAAACGGAAAGCCGGCTTTGTTTCACTTCTTGTAACTTACCATTCCCCATTTCCCCGTTGTATTATGGAGGGACGCATGAATCATAATCCCCGTAGAATATCCGCGGCATCAGTAGTTTCTGTACAAATATTTCGCGAGTTTTAGTGAAACTGATGATTATCATCTCTTGAATCGATTTAAAGTGGATATTCTCCAATATATTATTACATGTGGAATAAAATATACAGGATTATAATAATACAATTAATGTGCGACGAATGAAAGATAACTGATTTATGCCAAAAAGATCGATTAATTCGTGATACATGCAATGATTGTATTTTTATTGCAATTAGATTAACTGGCTGATAATTTTATTTTATTTGCGATAAGATTTGTTCGCAAAAATATGTTTATTTATTTATCTCATAACAAACTGCATTAATAATCTTGAATTTATTAAAGAAGATTGAGATAATGTGCTAATAATGTATTAATATGATTTAATTGAATTTGAATATATGGAATTATTGTAATTGCTTAAGAGAGCGGGAAATGACGCGGATCGATCAGCTGGAAGAGACATTGCTGGCTCTTTTATTTAATAGAACAGCGAGCTTTCTGCGATTTATTTTCCAGTTCACGTGCACGCAGATTTGTTTTTGCAATGAATTTGCATCAACTTGGATCTATTTTTATTCTCCTTTTGCGCGGATGTGCACAACTTTTCTCTTGTCATTCGCTTTCTCGGCCGATTGATCAGCTGATCGAACGCTCTCCTATTGTTGTTCCTTTCAGAAACTTCGACCTACCATCTTCATTTACTCTGAAGAATTCCGCGTGCTTAAGTGTCATTAGTTGCTCGCAGGAAAATAGATCAACGTAATTTTGCCTCTGTCGTGCGAACAACTTGTTTTTTCGCATAATCACCGTGATTGAGATCAATATTGATTAATTGTGTAATATTTCGCAAACCTGTTTTTTTCTCGCATACAAAATGTATTTTTGTATGTAAAGTAAATTCACACTGAGAAAAAAAAGTTGTTAACTTGACTATAAATGCGTTCAACTAATTATCATTTTTTTTATTGAAATATTTAAGTACTTAAGTCAAATACGTCATGTTAGATTTAATATGTCGTATTTATATGGAAATATTTCGTAACCTGTTTTTGTATTAAAATTAATTCTGACACATTATTTTCTACGTTAAAAATAAGTTTTAATGCAGAAATCTAATTGACAGCAAGATAATTTAATGATATAGGCTATCGCTTAATGTGCCAACTGATGACACTGAGCATATTTATCAGTTTTATATATGTGAAAATTAATCTTCTCGATATTTATCAGTATTTAAGTTGATCAGCTGACGAGGCGAAAGTTCGTCTTTAGTTCTAGTTAAAAATATGTTATTAAGGATGAATATATGTAGCATTTTACTTTACATTTCATAGATATGTGTGCATTATCAAAAAAAGGAAGAAAAAAAATAGAAAATAAAAAAAAAATATATATATATATATAAATTAATTTTTCAATATCTATTCGTAGATAAAGAACAGGAAATTGAATCATCTTTTCTTTAATTGCAAAATAATATTATCGCTTTTATCTCTTTGTTTTTAATTCTAAAAAGTTAATATTATAAATAATCATCTTTCTTATAACTCCGATAATTATAAAAAGCTATATTTTGTACAATTCATGTTAAAAATTTTAATGTTTTTTTTCTCCGAAACACATCTAAGCGATTGCACTCCGCTTTTTCCAATCCGATCAGCTGATTAGCCCCAGACTTTCTGTTATCTCGGCCGCGGGCGACACGCTCGAAAGGGACGGAAGAAGTCGCGTGTATTGGTGTGTTCCTACTTTCCATGGCGCATGCGTCCGAAAGGGGGGTGGCAACAGAAAGAGGGAGAGATAGAGAGAGAGACTAAGCTTGGCTAAGCATTCAAGGGTGGTTCGCTTGCACATTTCCACCAGGGGTGGATGGCGGCATCGCGTATTGATTCTGCCGTCACATCCCTCGGCTGTACGGTCTCTCCTCCCGAGGGTGGCTCGTTTCGAGGGTGGAAAAGGAGAGAAGGCAGTCGCGTACGGTTGTCGTCGACGACAACCGCTATCAGAGCAACGTCAACCTCGCGTTTCTCGACCATTGTTCCTCTCGTGAGACGATGAGGAAACCGGTGTTTGACGGATTACGACATGGACGAACGAGGAAGATCCGCGAGCGGTGACATCGCTTTTGCCCTTGACACACCTTCCTGAGGACTTGCGACGAAAGTGGACGTCGCCGTCGAAAATTCATTTCGGTGACTTCTACCAGAGTTCTACTGCATCGATAAGGTCTTTCGCGAAAGGTTTCGTGCATCGCTAATTGATTGTGTTTCGATGAATCGTTGGCAAGCTATTGTCAGTGACGGATCGATGTTAACTATAGACGGTGCTGGTGAGGGACTACTGACGTCCTTCCTCGCTATCGTTGACCTAAGGTCGATGAGGTAGCGATCGGTGTGGTCAGTGACGTCTTTGGAAAATATCACACATATGTGACATGTCTTTGTCTTGGGGATATTCTCGAGTTATCATCAATTTCGAGCAAACTCATTGAACTTTATCGATAAATATCAGAAACAATATATATATATTTAAATTTTACTTTGGTTTATTGTTTATAAAATCGATTCTTCAAAAACTGAAAGCTATCGTTTTACTTTTTTGCGGAGTGTTATGTTCTGTGGGAACTCGAAATCTCCGGAAATATTTATGCAGGATGTTTTACTCGAGTACAAACATCATCTTCGTGGAATTGATTTACGATTCAATCGTCAATATTAGTACAAAGAGTGCCTAAAGTGAAATATATCGGGGCAATGATGTTTGTGGAATTAAACGTATATTATAAACGATCTGCGAAGACTTTCAAACATACATTTATCGATCAAAAAAGAATACGATTTATCAGTGAAACTTAGTTAAAGGGAATAATTCCAGTGTCTCTTCGAACATATCACGCTCGTTTACTTCTTCATCGAAAGTCGAAGCGTTCAATTTTTTGACACACGATACAAGTACAACAGCAATTTATCGAAGTGGAGTTTTTACACAACACCGCGTATATCCTGATAAAATGATCCAACGTGGTGATACGCTTCGCGAATTGACTCATCGTTCAACTTTCCAAAACGATCGACCACGAGAGCTACAACATCTAATCTAATCGGAGAATCGGCTATCGTTATTGAAGGACCGAGGGAATTAAGTAATCCTGAGAGTTAATAAAAATATTAACACACGGAGGAAAAAAAGGAAATAATCGCGGTTGTCGAAATCACTGTGGGAATAAAGTGACAGCGACGCGAAAATCGAATGACAGACCATGACAGAGATCGCTGATCAAGGCCACCGAATGACAATCGAGTGTCTCGCGCGATCTGTATCCTGTTATTGAATCTTTTGCACGCGTTCTCGTAATTCTCGCGTACCGTTGACGGATCAACTAATCCGCCTCGGCGGCCGTTTTTTCACGCGCATGCGAGCACGCGGAAGCAACCCACTGTCGTCGGATCCGTCGTCGATCCGTCGTTCGTTATCGATCGTTCCGCCGAGACGCGGAAGAGAGTAGTCAAACTGGCGGCTTCCAAGGTTGCGGCCGCCTCCGGCTCGCGCAAGATGGTCACGCGTGGCCTCCTGCGGGTAATGACATACGGGAGAATTAATCTCTCAAAGCTTCGCTTGATTTGTCGCTTTTATTTTATTTTATTTTTAGGCAG